CCTGTAAAAATTGTTGTTGTTGTTAGATGCCGTCAAGTCATTTCCCTGTAAAAATGGCAATGGTTAAGAGAAACAAAATGAAACAAATGCTAGTGAGGCTGCAGAGAGAACAGAACTCTTATACAATCTTGGTGGGGAATGTAAAATGGTACAACCATTATGGAAGCCAGTATGGCACTTCCTAAAAATTGGAAATAGAAATACTATATGATCCAGCAATCCTACTCCTAGGTATATATCAGGAGATATAAGAGCAGTAACATGAATAGACATATGCATACCAATGTTCACTGTAGCATTGTTCACAATAGCAAACAGAAATAACCTATGTATCCATTAATAGATGAATGGATAAACAGTGATACTTTCATACAATGAGATACTAAGCAACTATAAAGAATAATACAGTACATCGACAGGTAACTGCCAGAAATTCAACCTGGATTCAAAAGAGGATATGGAAGGAGGAATATTATTGCAGAGAATACCAGAAAGATGTTTACATGCATTTTACTGACTCTGAAAGGCATTTGACTGTGTGGCTCATAACAAAATATGGATAACACTGGAGAATGGGAACTCGAGAATACTTAACTGTGCTCATGTAAATCCTTCACATAGATTATGAGGCAGTCATTCAAATAGAACAAAGGGATACTGCATAGTTTTAAATCACAAAACGTGTGTCAGAGTTTAATCTTTTCATCATACTTATTCAATCTGCACGGTGAGCAAATATTCAAGAAGGTGGACCGTGTGGAGAAAAACATGGCATCAAGCTTGGAGAAAGGCTCATTAACAACCTGCGATATCCAGATAACACAACTTTATTTGCGGAAAGTGAGAATGACTTGAAGCATTTACTGATGAGGGTCAAACACTACAGTCTTCAGTATGGATTACATTTCATCATAAAGAAAATAAAAATCATCACAACTGGACCAAAAAGCAACATCATGATAAACAGAAAATATTGAAGTTGCCAAGGATTTCATTTTACTTGGATCCATAATCAATGTGCATGGAAGCAGCAGTCAAGAAATCAAATGATCTATTGTTGCTGTTGTTAGGTGCCATTGAGTTGTTTCTGACTCAGTGACCCTAGGTACAACAGAATGAACCATTGCCCAGTCCTGTGCCAGCCTCACAATCCTTGCTATACATACCTAAGTACATCATTGCAGCCACTGTTTCAATTTGGACAAATCTGACAAGCAGATTGGACAAATCTGCTGCAAAAGAACTCTTAAAGTGTTAAAAGCAAAGATGTCACATTGAAGACTAATGTGCACTTGCCCTAAGCTGCAGAGTTTTCAATTGCCTCATATGCTTGTAAAAGCTGAATAATGAATAAAGAAGACTGAGGAACTGATACATTTGAATTATGGTGTTTGTGAAGAATATTCAATATACCATGTATTGCCAGAAGAATGAACAAATTTGTCTTGGAAGAAGTCAGCCAGAATGCTCGTTGAAAGTGAGGATGGTGAGACTTTGTCTCACATGCTTTGGACATGTTATCAGGAAGGAGCAGTTCCTGGAGAAGGACATGATGCTTAGTAAAGTAAAAGGTCAGTGAAAACAAAGACCCTTAATGAGATGGGTTGACAAAGTGGCTGTAGCAATGGGCTCAAACAGAGCAAAGATTGTGAGGATGGCTCAGGACCAGGCAGTGTTTTATTCTGTTGTACACAAGGTCACTATAATCAGAACCATCTTGACAGCACCAAACAACAAAACATAAAGAATTATGAAGAGTCTGCAAAACATGGATGAATCTGGAGGACATTAAAGAAAAAAGGAAAAAAAAAAAAAAAACCCAAAAACCTCAAAGCCATTGAGGAGATTCCAACTCATAGCGACCCCTATTGGGTTTTGAGGCAATAAATCTTTATGGAGATTGATTGCCCCATCTTTTTTTTTGTAGAGTGGCTGGTGAGTTTGAACTGCCAACCTTCTGCTTAGCAGTCAAATGCCTTAGGGATTACAGAGGACATTGTGCTGAATGAAATAAGTCAATCACAAAAGGACAAATATTCTATAGTCCCACTATTATAATAAGTTAGGAATATATACATAGAAACAAACATTATTTGATGGTTACAAGGCATGGGGGGAAGGAAGGAGGAATCATTCTCTAGGTAATAAATACTTATTTTTAGTGATGGGAAAGATAATACCAAATAAAGGTGAAGTCTGAACAATCTGACCAAAATAAATGAGGACCATATGAAGTAGACAAGAAAAGGTACTTCAGTAAATTCTATGACATTCAATTTTGCAACAATAACAATAAAATATGTGTGCAGTTATATAGGTAGGCGCATATGCGTATATGTCTATAGGAAGGTATATGAGAGTGTATCATGTGTAGGTATAGGTGTATCTAGAGGCACATATAAATACATGTATGTATGTGGTGCATATATGCTCATAGATAGAATAACGCACATAGAGGGCAGAGTTATGGAAACTTCCTACGCATTGCCGTTGAGTCGGATCTGACTCATAGTGACCCCTCCTTGGGTTTCTGAGGCGGTATCACTACAGAAGTAGATTGCCCAACCTTCCTTCCAAGGAGTGGCTGGTGGGTTTGAACTGCCAGCCTTCTGGTTAGTAGTCAAATGGCTTAGGCAGACATATCTAAACAACTCATGGAATTGGTTTACTGGGTTGAAAGGCTTAGAATCACAGTCTCATGGATAACTTAGTCAACTGGCATAACATAGTACCTAGAGTTAATGTTCTACACACTAGGTCAGTGAGTTGTCCCTGGGGTCTTAAGTTTCTGAGCAGCCAGCCATATAAGGTACAACCATTGGTCTCTGCTCAACTGGAGTAAAGAGAATGAAGGGAACCAACGACTCAAGGAAGAAACTTGTCCTCAGAAATAGCACACATAAATCATGGCCTCTTCAAACATGAGACCAGAAGAACTAGATGGTAGCTGGCTACCACTGCTGACTATTCTGACCAGGGACACCACAGAAAGTCTCAGTTAGAATGACAGAAATACAAAGAAAAAAATTCAAATTCATAAAAAATACTAGACTTACTGGACTGATAGTGACTGGAGGAACTCCTGAGACTATTGCCCTAGGATACCCTTTTACCCTAGAACTAAAACCACTCCCAGAAGTCATCTTTTAACTAAACAATAGATTGAATTATAAAATAAGCAATATCACCCATGAGTAATGTGTCCCTTAAGCAATTACCTATATGAGACCAAATGGACTATATTTATCCAATAGCAGAGATGTGAAGGCAAAGAGGGGAAGGGAAGCTAGATAAATGGAAACAAAACAGAATGGAAATACTGAAAATGCTGACTCATTGTGCAAACTGTAACCAATGTCACAGAACAATGTGTATAAAAATTGTTCCATGGAAACCCAGTTCACTGTGTAATTTTCATTTAAAGAACAATAAAATATTAACAAAAAACAAAAAAGATATTTCCAGAGCACAATAGAGGGGAAAATGTTACTATCTTTTAAATTTGTATAGAGGGTGCTAGGCTACCTGCCATTGTTTTTCATATTTAATTTTACAGGCCAAATGCGTATAATTTCTTTTTTTAAGTTAAAGTTTAAAGTTACTTGTTAAACAAACCAAAAATAAAAGGAAAAGTGCTCAACATGGGAGACTAGATGGCTGCTCCCTGTGCTTATAGCAAACAGGGTAAAGAAGTTGTGTTCAATCAACATTCATTGAATATCTAATATGTGCTGAAGAAAGGCCTGGAAATATGCTTCTGAAAACTAGCCAGTGAAAACCTTATAGATCACAACAGAACACTGGCTGACTCGCTTTCTTTGGACATGTCATCATATATCTCTGCAGTACCTAAGTCACAGCAGTAGAACTAAATGAAATAACAAAAATCACAAGGAGCATTATTCCCTTCTGAGTTCCTACTATATGTCAGCTGTTTTATGTTCTATGTGTTAGGTTCTTTATGATTATTTCTTTTTTGTTTTTGGCTTAATCTTCACAATCATGAATGAAAAGTGCTCCACACTGTTTGACACAGGGTTGTAGCTTCATAAATGTCAGCTCCCTTCAGCTTGGGAGTTAATGTTGTGTCCATATGCACACACAGCTGCCTACATACTACAAGGGTCTAATGAAATGTCCCATGTTTCCCTCTGAAAATCTAAAAATCTTCAGTTAAGACATTAGAAGTTCTGCATAATTTTTCTCATTCTTTTGATATCTTTTTCAGGGTTATATTATATCACAATATGTTTGTGGCCAGAGAGCTATACCTTTTGTTTTCAAATATTGTTGCTATTACCTAGGGAAATTCATACTATACATAATGACTTTATCTGATCATAGTTCACTTCAATGAGAACCATGAGGAGACATGGATATAAAAGACACAGAAACACATAATCTCTCACACAATTGAATTCTGTGAACATCCTAATGGCTGTCATCCCATGAGAATTCATACTTTTTAATTTTCATATTATCTAGTATTTTCTATCAATATTAACATGTTCTAAGACACTGTGGTAATCCAGCATTTCAGCTTGCTATGGAATGTCACAAAAGATTAAATCCTACACATAAGGCAGGCATATGAATGAAATAATATTCTTCACAGTAAAGCAAGCTTTAATTTCTACCTGTTCAGAAAAATGCCACGTTAAAGGCTTCTTTTAATAGTACGCCTTAGTATTTTTTACTCTCATGCATAAACTTAATGATACACAAACAAAGGGAAAAGGAAAGTTGCGCTTAATTGAATCCTCCCAGCAACATAATAAATGGGCAGAAGCTAAGGAGATATAGCTCATTGCCATCAAGTCATTCTGACTTCAGCAGTGCTATTGGACAGAGTAAGGAGCTCTGGTGGCGCAGTGCCTAAGGCATTTGAGTGCTAACCAGAAGGTTGGCGGCTCAAACCCACCAGCCACTTTGTGAAAGATAACTGGGCAATCTACTTCTAAAGATTTACCACCTTGGAAACCCAAAGGGGGTTGCTGAGTTGCAATCGACTTGATGGCAGTGTTTTTTTTTTTTTCCCCTGTATAAACCAAAAAACCAAACTCACTGCCATCGAGTTGGTCCTGACTCATAGCGACCCCTCCTTGGGTTTCAGACGCAGTATTTCTATGGAAACAGATTGCCCAGTCTTCCTTTGGGGGAGTGGCTGGTAGGTTTGAACCATCAGCTTTCGGGTTAGCAGTCAAATGCCTTAGGCACTATGCCACCAGAGCTCCTAGTAACAGAGTATAACTGTTTCATAGGGTTTCCAAGGCTGTAATCTTCATAGAAGTAGACTACCACATCTTTTTCCTGCAGAGTGGCTGGTGGGTTCGAACCGCCAACATTTTGGTTAGCAGCCGAGCACTTAACCACTGTGTCACCATAGCTTTAAATACATATAATGACACCATTTTAGTTTGAGTCTCTATGAAACTGTATCACTGCAGCTTACAGGCTTCCCTTGGGCCTTGTGTGTTATGTGAAGATTAGTGATGCTGTCTGAATCACAGGTTTACCCTATGGCGTGTCTCTCCAGCAGTCTCTGAACTGGCATTGACAGCTTTCCCAAAAAGCGCTTGATGATGGGGCGGCTCTTGGCAAACTTGTCCTTCACTTCAATTTCCAGCACATCAGTGGGCAAGGACACAAAGCTGAATTGCTGCAATAAAAAAATATGTCACATCAATTAGCTTGAGAGGTGAGAGGGCTGGCCAGGTCCCAGTCCATCTGCCTGGGATGACATCATTATAAAATGCCCCAGCTGTTATATATAACAAGGTCTTAGAAATTCAGTGCTCCCTGTGAATGAGATGACGGGCAACAGTGCAGGGTTCTCAGTACTTAGATAAAAGTTTATTCTCTAAGATATAAGCAAAAATAATCAATATACCTGCCATGGATCTGATTGTGTCTCCCCCAATATGTGTCAACTTGTCTAGGTCATGATTCCCGGTCTTATAGGAATTTCCTCCATTTTGTGATGCATCGTAAACCCTAATGTCTGCCTGTGGTTAATAAAGCAGAATTAGGTTATATTAAAGAGAATTAGGATTGCTATGTTATATGAGGGAGCTCTAGTGGAGTAATGACTAAGGCACTTGACTGCTAACCAGAAGGCTCGTGGTTCAAGCCCACCAGCCACTCCTCAGAAGGAAGGTTGGACAATCTACTTTCATAGTGATACTGCCTCGGAAACCCAAGGAGCGATCGCTATGAGTTGGATCTGACTTAACGGCAGTGAGTTTGGTTTGGTTCGGTTTTGGATGTTATATGAGGCAGTATTAGGGTGGGATTCCTCATCCTTACTCAGGTCACAGCCCTATTCTGAAATAAGGGGAATTTCCCTGGAGTTTGACCTGCATTATTACCTTTTATCTCATAAGAGAAAAAAAGGAGAGACAAGTGAATAGAGAGGAGGGACATACTACCAACAAGAAAGAAGAGCAGTAATGGAGTGCATCCATTGGACTTGAGGTCCCTGTGCTGAGAATCTGCTAGAACCAGGGGAAGATTGAGGCCAAGACACATGGAGATGTCCAAGGAATGCCAAGCCCACGGATGTTGAAATAAGATAAGGACTTTTCTCCAAAGCCCATAGAGAGAGAAAGCCTTCTCCTAGAGATGATGCCCTGAATTCAGACTTCTAACCTCCTAAACTGTAAGAGAATAAATTTCTGTTTGTTAAAGCCATCCACTGTGGTACTTCTGTATAGCAGCACTAGATATGTAAGACAATACCTTAAAGAAAAAGGATGACATTCAGGCCTTCAGCCATATGTAACTAAAGGGATTAATATATTTAAAGAAACACAAGCACGAATTCACTTATAATTAAAGAAATAAACTTTAAATCAAGAACTCAATAAATTTTTCGTGATTCAAATGACAGAGATTTAAGACAGTTTGGTAATTACGCCCCCTTACCCTCTCTGCCCCCCTGCAGGAAGCTCTCACACTGTGTTGGTGACAGTGTTCTATTACTCAATAAGCAAGATAAGCTTACTGTAGTGAACGATTTCACCATATCAAAGATTCTGCTTTTACATAGAGCTGGCATCTGTCTCTCTCCCAACTTCACAGCACCTTCCTATAGAATCAAAGCCTCTTTTCAAATTTATAATCCCTGACAAGGACAGTAGGAGCTCTGGTGGCATAGTCTAAGGCATTTGACTGCTAACCAGCAGGATGGTAGTTCAAACCCACCAGCCACTCCTCAGAAGGAAGATTGGACAATCTACTTCCATAGAGATACTGCCTTGGAAACCCCAGGAGGGGTTTCTATGAGTTGGATCCAACTTGACAGCAGTGAGTTTTTTTTTTTTTTTTTGGTTTGACAGGGACAACAGAGTACCCAGTAAGCACCACAGGTTGTGGAGAAACCCATGTGAAGTTGTTCACTGCAGGTTAGTAACTAAGCAAAAGTAAGCCTGTGTTTATCTTGTCTATTGAGTAATTTGCTCCTGATTGGTGAGAATGTAAATTGAAAAGGGAATTGGTATCATTTATCCTCCTTTATACTACATATACTCTTCACCCCAGGATTCAACTTCTAGGAATTTTCCCTCTGAATTAACTTGCACAATCAGGATGTTCACTGAAGAAATATTAACAATAGCAAAATATTGGAAAAAACAAAAAGTATCTAGCAATAAGAAACTGGTTAATGAACCATGGTATATCTCTGAAAACAGAGCACTCACTCTGTAGTCATTAAGAAGAAATGGGTAAATAATTAAAGACAGACTGTGAGCATCAGAAGGAGTCCCTGCCTGTCAGTGGAGGTTTGTGTGTTATTATTATGCTGAACAGATTTCAGCAGAGCTTCCAGACTAAGATAGACTAGGAAAAAATGCCTAGCAATCTACCACCAAAAATCAGCCAATGAAAATTTCATGGATCACAATGGTCCAATCTTCATTCATTAATGGGGATGGTGCAGGACTGGGCAACATTTGGCTCCATTCTTCATAAGGGCACCATGAGATGAGGGCTGAGTCAATGGTAGCTAACAATAACAACAAGACTTGGCTTTTATTCTTAACTCTATCATTCACAGCCTCTCCAGATCTCAGCATCTTAAACTGTAGAATGGGTAAAAATAAGGACCCTGCCATATTAGATTAAAGATCATTTTTCCCCTTCCATTCCTGTTCTACCTAGACCCTACTTGCCCTATTCTCTACTATTTGCTTCTCCTTTAACTCTCCAATTAATCTCTCAAATAACACTTCCCTCGAAGTCACTATACTTCATTTCAGCAGGCCTATAATGACCAAAAATACTCTACAACACTTTGCAGTAAATCATAAGATCACTTTCAAATGTTTCAATCACAGAAGAAAGCCATAATTTTCCTACAACTAATGCCTGCTCTTTGTATCCAGAAAAATGGTTATTGGTCAAAAGAGAAATTGGAGAATTATATCTAAAACACCGTTTAAAAAATATGTGTTTTTTCTTTAAATTTCTGATGCTTTAGGAATTGTATCTCCTTGCATCCCTGTCCATTGGTGAAAGGAATAAGAAGGGCACACGAGAATGCCAATCCTGAACATTCTTCGAGATCTGAGGTTTAGATATTTTCCACCTTTATCCTCCTCTTTTTACTCATCAGCATCTCAGAGAAACTGTAACATATTCTTGAACCAACCAATAAATACATGGTTCCTTATCATTGTATAAGCCAAGAAACTATCCCAAATAAAGGAACTATTGGAATCTCAGGGATCAAAGAGTAAAGTCACTTCTCCATAGTGCATTGGATTCTATATTCTTTTTCTTGGCTGCATGTTAGGAACCAACTGTCAGAACTCTTACAACCGGGCAGCAACAGCAGGAAGAGAGCTATACGTACAAGGCCAAATGCAAGGCTACACTAACCTGGAACAACATATATGATATTCCTATAGTGTCAAGCACCCTTTTGTTAAAAATGAACTTTTCTTTAGCACAGGTTATTGGGATTCTTATTTTGGCATTAGCCCAATGGTTCTTAGCCCCAGCTCTCATTAGAATAATCTGTGAACGTATAACAAAAATACTTCTTCCTAGTCCCATTCTTGACTAATTAAATTATAATCCTCTGGGTTTGGGCTAAACATTAGTAGTGCATACAATTCCTCAGGTATAATGTGCAACCAGGGTGGAGAACTGTGGCTTTATACACATTTGTCAAGAGTGCAGCAATGGGGAGGTTCTGGCAAGATGGCGGACTAGGCAGAAAGACTGCACAGACCCTCTTCAACAAAGAAAAGGGAAACCAATTAACACAGACACAGAAGATAATCCTGGATCCCTGAGCCTTGA